TGAGGGACTAGTTCCTATGGAGATTCCCCTGGGTCTAATTCCACGCCTTATGACGAAAGGAGAGTCGGCGTGGCGTAAAGTGAAGATTGAGGGAAATAGATAAAAATTCCCTTCTGGGGTCTTCCGAAGGTGTAACCTAGGCAACGAAAGAAAAAGGGGCCCGATACTTCAACTAGAGGAGCGACCAGTTGGTTCACCAAACCCCGACCCAGCGTCACACGTTCTCCAGGTCCGAAGGGATCCAGTGCCCAACTACCGACTCCTTCCGGAATTGCGTTATCGTAGCCGAGCCAGGAATGGCCGTTAGTGGACACCCACCACTTTTAACCGGTTAGAGAGGCCCTCTTTAATACATTAATAAAAGATGTTCACAGGGGCCAGAAAGACTCGGTCATAGGAACTTAGACCGCCTACGCGCTGGTAAACTAAAACCACCTCGACCGGATCAGAGTAAACAACAATGTCGAATCGCCCCTTGCCTTGAAAGAATTCACAGGCGGCCACCTGCTTTCCCAAAATAAATAAGGGGAGATCTGCTGCTTACTGCTCACGGAAACATCCGACCTATACTATAGTAAAGTCGTCCGCGTATCTTTCTGATCTCTCTTCCTTCTATTTATAAGATTTTTGGCTTTGACTTCTTCAAGGTGAAAAAAAGAATAATAAAGGAGCGTAGCAGCCAGAGTCGCTAGAGAAAGAAATCCCCTCTTCCGCTTAAGGCACCGAAGTCCCACAGCTAATATCAATATAGGAGCAACTCTCTGATCAGTTTTCACAAATCCTGAAAGACTTGGGTAAGCGCCCTGTAGGGGAAGGAGAGGATTTACAGGATTCAGTTAGGCAGTTAAAGGGTTACCCTTATATATTTCTTATTTATAAAATAGGGTCAGTGCACGGAAGACTCCCCACTTCTGGGACACACGGCGCCCAACCTAATAGGATGAGTCACGCAACCCCTAGACCAACTGTCAGATTTCCCCCTGATGGTGATCTCCTTCCAACCTTAGATCCTAGAGCGGCACTTGATGATGGTGATCATTTTTATGAGGACCAACCCATAGAGTTCCAGTCGGACCCCATACTAGGGTTCCAGATAGACAGAACAGGCGTTCACCACAACCTCCTAGGTATGTATGGTCATGAGGATTTAGGAGACATTACTAGGAGAGTCAAAGTGGATGTCCCTGAATATGATGGAAAGTTGGACCCTAATCTCATATCTTCAAAGATTGGTTGGATAACATTGAGGACTATTTTGATTGGTATGGCATGCATGTCTGACATAGAGCGTCTTCGTTTTGCCAAGATTCGGAATCGGAAGAAGTGAATAGGATCAGCCAAGAAAGATTGGCACAGTGTCCAACGCAACTTAGGGCGTCTAGGTGAACCACCCATCACTCAGTAGGCAGTCATGAAGCAGAAGTGGAAGGAAAAATACCTCCCCACCAACTATAGGAGTCAATCGGTTGAACAGTTGTAAAATCTTAGGCAATCGACGTCTAATGTGTCTTACTATTAGGCTCGATTTGAAGAGCTTATGCTTAGGTGTGAAATTGATGAAGAGCCATTCATTTTCTTAGTCAATGGGGCAGTAGGTTCGTCAATGGTCTGAGGGTAGACATTAAGAGGGAGGTTATACTGTACAATCCTGAATTATTTAAATACGAAGCATTATCGAGTGCAGTCCAGCGCTTCTTTATTTTAGGGCTATTTGCCCTAGTCTTTTAGCGGACTCAAGGACAGATTTTCTCACCAGAGTAGGATCAAAATAAAAGATGGAGAAGGTTTTCCAGTCGAGCAAAGTTAATCTGCGGTCAGTAAGTACGGCTGCTCTAACAGCTCTTCCTATTAGTTCAGCGGGTAACTGTCGTCATCGAGGAGGCCAGTCTGTTCTGTCTACCAGTCAGTAGCTAACCGAGACCCCTGTTGCTAGCTCCAGCTACTTAGAAAAGTCAAAAGATCGGAACCGAAGGCTAGGGCTCTTTCCCAATCACCAAAGATCGATTCAAAACAAGTTAATAGGATGTAACCTTTCAGTTACGGTTCAAAAAGGGCCTTGATGAATGATAGAAAGGAGGGGAGGGATGGGCTGCCAACCGAGCTCAGAAAGCGAAGCCATCGCATCCAGTTATTCCAGTGGTTAGGAATCTGAACCGGCTCGGCTCCCTTCCTTATGGTCGAGCGGATTCAATCTTCTTCCCGAAGTAGCACATCTGAAAGCCTCGTATTTACAGGTTGCGGGAGCTAGGCATGAGGGTAGGGACCTCTTTCATTCGTAGCACGACATGACATAAGCTACTTCTGGACAGGCAATAGATTCTCTCTTTCCAATGGTCCTAGTTCAGTTAGCCATAGCATAGTGAATTCGGACACAGAGGAATGCAATTGCGGTTCAAAGACACATGGTATGAGCTAGCGGCGATACATAATAGAATAGAGGATGGCGATTGAGGCGTGAAGGTAGGGTAGGTAAAGGTTTCGCAGCTTGGTATTCCCACATTCGTATGATTCAATGTCGAGAGACTCACCCACCGAGCGGGAGTAGGACTAGGAAAGAAGCCTATACTTTCTGCTCTTCCAACCAAGTTGGACATTTGAGCAGCCTTTTCATTTGGCGGGGATCTTACTCGGTCTCCTATGATTCTTCGGATGTGACAGAAAGAAATAGGTGGCTATGCAAGGGCCTAATAAGCCATTGAAGACTAACTAAGCCCAATCCACTGCAGCCTCCATAATGGCTCCTATTCAAGAGGAATAGTTGAGCTAGGACCTTAATCCTATAAGGAGTTCAGTTCCTATTCCCGAAGCTTCTCTATTTGACGAAAGGGGGGCTTGGGCGGCTGAAGGACGGGCTTTCAACAACAATCACCTCGCACTCTGTTCGCTACCACCTATCAGACATCAGACTGACTAGCTGACCTACCCGTGCTGACCTAATCGCTGACAGACTTTTTAGATATGCTTGCTTGCCCGATAAAGCTCTTTTTCCTTGCAACTCTTTGAATCCTTAACCAGAACTTTTTCTGCTCGGCTAGCTGCGCCTTCCCATTGCAAACCAGACATCTCGCCTTTATCCTTAACAGCCTGCTTTGGTTCTCCGATACCTCTTCTTCGATACCCCTTCCCTTCTTCAAATGCCTTCCTTAATCAACCTTCCTATAGACGCAAGAAGCTCATCGCCCTTCTTTCTGACATCACTACTCCTACTAGCATAGCATCATACTGGTCCTTGACTTCCCCTCATAGAAGAGAAAAAAAGAAGTTAAATTTCTACCTTGTCCAATCACAATCATAGGACACTCCTTTGTGAGAGAAGAAGGAAGTTGACTAATCGACTAGTGCCCCTTTCCTTATTCTAGGTCGTCCTGATCTATATGCCACCATAAGACTTCGAATACGAATAGAAGTGAGAAAGAGAATGCCGCCCCCATTTTGTTGCTTCCAAACAAAAGAAAAGGGCTCATTGCCAAAAGAGAGCTTGCTTGACTGGAGAGTACTTGAAGATAGAAGTAGAAAGGGTCGGACTGATCATTTCGAGATTCTTGATTTGAAATTGCTTTTTCTTGGTTGGTCCTCATACTATAGGCCCAGGTGGTCAGGTGATTGGTCATCTTATGTCGACAAAAAAAGTTCAATGACTGAGTAGTAAGTAGATGGAAAGACTCTCTCGAGAAGATCGACCTCAAAGCTCTTTCTGATGCCTAGGGCACTTCCTTTCTTTCCCCTTCCCCTCCAGTCCTTTCACCCCTTTTCAATCTGAAAATGAAGAATGTACAGGAACTGGTTTAACAAAAAGGGTCTCGAACTGAACTACAGTGATCTGATACTTGGTCTGAGAGGTCGGTTATGTAGGCAACAACTGTTCCTAGGTTGCTCGATCGCAAAAGGAAATAATAAAAAATAGATTAAGTAGTATGCCTGATATTGCCAGAAGACCTTCTCCCTCTTGGAAACTGGCTAATCAAAAGGAGGCACTTTTTCCATTTTACTTTACTTATCTTTGAAATTATCCTCTTTCTTGCCTAGACTAAAAAAGAGGGAGCATGCCTAGAAAAAAATCAGATATTTCACTGTAACCCTCTCTTACGGAGAGTGGACGGAATGTAATAGAACTCCTAGCGAGAAGGCCCGGAAATGGCTCGCAAAGATTAGGAATTTTTCTCTCAAGGGAAGGAACTGGCTGAAGAATAAAAGCAACTCCTTCTAAAACCCGAGGCCAACGGGAGATAGAAAGACTACCCAGTACAGCAGAGAGAGTATACTTGATGGTAAGAGCTATAGGAGCCCTACTTAAGGCTTCTACAGCATAGTAGATATGTATGATATTCGATAATAAAGGGGAAGCAAGGGAAGAACCTTCTCTCTATCTCTTCCTGACAAGGAGTCCGTTCATGGTATAATAAGTCCTATTCTTTCAGAGCCAATCCCAGGGAAGAGAAAAGCTTCAATTGGTCTTTTCGAGACGAGACTTCTTCCTCTTAGGGGTTCAGAAAGACAAGAAAGAGGATACTATTTCAACAAGGCTACGAGTTCTGGCATACTTTACTTTTGAAAGGATGTCCTACTTCTATTTAATATTTCACCGAACCCTACTTCACTCAATCAATCTCCTAATCTTAATCCTACCCCCCTTACTACACCAACAGCGGGGGAGCATATATTATATTACTATAGAATGAGAGATGTGCATTCTGTAAGGCTAACAACTCATTCTCTAAGAGGAAAAGCAAAGACCTCATCTACCGCATCAACAGGTAATCCCGCATCTGATAAGGCAAGTATCCTTCCCGGAGCAAAGCTACGAAACTACGCTATGAAAATAAATCTGCCCAAAGAAGGCTAGCTAGTCTAGTCTAATGAGATTCCCGGATCGAGTTCTTACCCTCTTTCGAAAAGTAAGTAAAGCAGTAAATCCAGTAAGGTAAGAAAGGCACTAAGACTAATTCCGTCTATTCGACATCGGCACAGGCTAAAAAGGAGCCTAATACCTCAGATGTCAAAGAAATGGTTTCAGGAAAGTAAGGTTTATGCATTTTTTTTATTCCGCTTGAACTAATGAACCAGGAGTTGTTCCCAGTGAAAAGGAATTGATAGAGTCAGATTCAATAGATGGGCAAAGAACTCCAATAGCAAAGACCGGTAATGCCACATCTAACAGAATATTTGTCCTAGACTCATCCCCATATGGCATAGCTGCAAAAGGCAATCTTGCCTCAGTGACCAAGAAGAAGGGAACGACAATCGTCTGCTAATCGAAGATGGACATTCGAAAGCACTTTATAATATATATATGTTAGATTCATGTTCTGTAACAACCGAACCGCCTGAGGAAACCAAGCGAAAGAAGACAAGATCGAATCTCCAAGCACTGTCTCGTGCGCTATAAACTCGTTGAATGGACATAAAAGAGAGATTTGTAATAAGAATGTCGTCAAAGAAGATCGGTCTTATGTCGGTGCCTATTTCATTGATTCGATAGGCCTCTTTTATTATAAAATCTTTAATTCTTCCTCTCTTAGGAGTCGTTCCTGAATGACTGACTTTCTATCTTGCAAACGAGCTTTGAACCCACCTTTCGAAAAAAGGGGCAGCCTATCACGCTAAAAGATGAATTCGATAACATCCTCTTCCACTCTATCGTCTATTGGGCTTTCTTTCCTCGCTTAAGTGAAGTCCCTTCTTTCGTCATTGAAAAAGGAGAACTTGAAAGAAGGAGCTCGGGGGACGACCAGTGCCAACGAGCGGTTAACATCTTCCTTTTGCCCAGGAGCATTCGACTGATCTGGATATTCCCTAAGTACAAGGAATGATCTCCATTATAACCCAACCCTGTACCCTTTTGCCATCGTATCCCGTAAGCCCTTCTTTCTTTTAGCCAACTCCTTCGGCTTACTTCAAATAGCTCTATCCACTGGGACGGACTTTAAGCCTTTCTCTTCTTTACCTGATTCTGCTTGCTCCGCAACTGAAATAGCTCTAGCACGAGGGTAGACTGACTGGCTTGCGGGACTAATGCTAACAAATTGCTCAACTACTCGCTTCAAGTCTCCCGCTCTCTTATCTTTAATCAGTGTGCACCGAGGGAGTCAAGATTTATAGAGTCAGTGTGCAGTGGACCCATATGCCTATTTTTAATTCAACTAATTCATAGTTCAGTGAGCCCTCTAGCTTCAAGCTATCAGTCAAGTTAGGAGGAGGGTTGAATCTGTACTTCCTTTCCTAAGCTTAACGACAACTTCTTAGCCCCGATCTTTGGAATTTCCTAGTGAGCAAATTTATCTTTCCGTGATAGCTTGCGATTCCTGAAAGACGGGCAGACTGACTTGCTGATGGCAAAAGGACTTGAAGAGTGAGGGCTTTCCTAAGTAGAAGGCATGGAACTAGCGCTTCGCACCTGACCTTTCCACTAAGCTCTTGGAACCTTTCTATCCCGAGCCGCTCACTTGCTTTGTTTGAGTTGTATTCTGATCCTAGAAAGAAAGCCCCAAGAAAGGCTAGTCCTAGTCATCCTTCTTGATGGATTTCTTCATCAAAGCAAAGAGAGGTTTCAGTCTCAGAAGTGGCATTCAGTTCTCCTCTGCCGATGCTGCTACGCTTCTCTGATCGCTAAGCCCTCAGAACTACATTCCCGGATTGGTTGATGTTATCTCAGTTGATGTTTGAAGCATAGTTCAAGTGAAAAAGATCCCTATCAGGTGAGTGCCGAGCCTTTTGATTAGCCGCATTTATGAATTCTCAAAGTCTGGCCCTGCCACCCCTACTTCCCCTTTCTCATCCCCCTATTAGATTAGATAGTTTCTATGTTCCGTAATCTGTAAATGAAGATGAAGTGGCTTACGCGCCTACTTCTGCTCTTGGAACAGCAGGTTCACTCCTTTCTTATCTAGTCAATTGGCCTATCGATCCTGAGCCGATCGGTAGGTAAGGGAAAGTTGATTCTAGCCCCCCTTTCCAATGTGAGGAGGCAAGGCGGTAAAGCGTTACCTTTCTACCCTATCCCTATCTTTATAGTTGCTTCGCTCCTGTACTGGATTATCCCTGAAAGTGAATGTTCCAGTGAAAGCAGAATCCCAATATGCGTGAGTTAGAGAAGGAAGTGCCAGTTTTGACAGTATCAATCCCTCAGTATCCATGATAGGGTTTAGTGTAAGCAGCCATCTTTGTTGCCATTCCCAGCTATTCTTTATTTGGTTTCAGCCCATGCGAGAGCCAGGAAGTTAAAAAGCAAGGGAAGGGTGTGCTAGCCAAGACGAGTCTCCACTGTTAGCCAAAACGCTAATCTCTTCTAAGCCCTTACCCTGCTAACTCTTTGAAAGAAAGTAAACCTCTTTCAGACTTTTATATAGGAGAAAGATGAATTGTCTCATCCCAATGGATAAGGCCTATTCCCTGCTCGTAAATTAACGGTTTAAGTTCCTTTATTTCTTCTGCTTCTGACTGTCACAAGCACAAGCCATTCTTCCACTCTATGATTAGGATATGATTCACTTTCAAACTGAACAGGGCATTCTATCTGATCTTCCGAAAGATCTCCTTCTTGCTAACATTCGGAAAAGGAAGAGCATATTCTAACCCGCGTAGAATGAAGACTTGTCTTACCGCATACCAGTTGCATGTGGGAAGACCAGAAGCGGGGTGAAGAATAAATAATGGGCGGACGATCACATCGTCCGATAGCTAAATGGATGGTACTTGGCTAACCCGAATCTCTTCACTCCTCATCTCACTCACTTGAAGACCGACCGAATGTGGACATTAGCAGCGCGTAGTCCTTCACCACAGAACTCCCTCAGCTTACTTGCTTCCTTAAGCCAAAAGCACCAAGAGTAGCTACTCCGACAAGAGCAGAAAAGGCACCAACATCGGTGACTAGTAGGGATTCCACCAGTTCCAGTTCAGGCATCATCCTAATCATCAGATAGGGAAGCCGGGATCCTCTACTTAATTCCCGGAAGTGAAAGAACTCTCCTTTATTTCCATTTTTTAGGAAGTTGCTTGCTCACTCACCTCACTTTATTTTTAGTTCGAAAAGAGCTAATTCGAATCTCGATCTCTGGAATCGAAACCAAGACCAACGAGCCCCGTACTCCTAAGTTGGCAAGCGAAAGACTTACGACTTTGAATTGAGGTAGAATCCTAAGGAAGCTCTTTCAAGTCCTCTGGGCACAAAGGAACTACACACTAAATCAGTGTATCTCTTTAGTGATCAGTCTTTTCTGCTCTTAATAGAGAGCGCAGTTCCAGCATCATCCTAATCAGACTATTGCTCGTACCTAATCACTGCTTAAACCCTCGGTGAAACTGGCTTAAGCCCGACTACAGAGCCTATCTATATAGGGATATACGTGAACCAAAGCACATTATAACTCCCTTTGGCACAAAATAAAGTCTGCTATCAAATCAAAATCGTCTTCTGTGTGGGATGCCAGGTTGTGAATTGTAAACTCTCCGTTCCTTCTTGACTCGCCTTCAGTCTTGATGGCTGCTAGATTCCTAAACAGGATTTCTGTTCTATGAGGTAAAGGCCCGGCCGCACGAAGCAAGAGGAAATAGGTATAGGCTGGATCAATAAAAGAAAGATAACGAAAGTGTAAAAGATTCCAATCGGGCTGGCTCAGAAGGAAGGTGGCGGCGAGGAAGGGTATTTAGAATCTCGTAGCATAGCACGGGACCGTGCCAAGCTGTAAGCATAGCGAGTTAGGTATGGGCTTTCTTTTCACTACCAGAATAAGCAGTTGGCCTATTGTTGATCAAAGTCTGGGTTGGCGGTCCCTAGTTATAGATAGGCTTTCGCCTTCCTTTTTCCGTCCAACGAGGATTTTAGTGTTTGGAGAATTCTTCCTATTTGACCCGATGCCGTACCCTTCATGTGTTCATGATACAGGGCCGGGGTACATCTTCCACAAAAACAATCGACTACGAGGATTGATAAGTTGTTCATTTGATAACCTTCACCTCTATCTACACAGTTTCATTTCTACGTCTTCGACGAGCAAGACTTCACTGCTGACATAGGGTGAGGTTTCAACAGGGCAAGCGGAGATTCTCCAACCTGCGGTCAGCTATGATATACTAAACTTCTTCTTTTCACCTCCCTCTTCGATCGATCCGGAAGACGTTCCCTTAGCAGTTGACATCTCAACAGAGTCCTCCGGTCGAGTTGGAAAACAACCCTTGAGACCTACGAGCTCCTAAAGCAAAGAAAGAAATAGACAGACTTAGACGAGGGCATCTTGAACCCCTCTCCCTATGGTCCGGTCGAGTTAGCCCATGACCTCAAGATCAAGAAGAGCCAGCCATACATAGAAGACAAGGGAAGACCTTGCTCGACCAAATGAGCGTAGCAGCAGCATCATGAGATAGAACCCGGTCCTGTCGTCCCCCGGCTGTCCATCTGTGGAACATGGGGCTGAAGACCTCTAGAGTACCTACTAGAAGAAAGACAGAACCACTTGGTTTGGTTGGCTAGGGGGAAAAAAGCCTTAGGAGGAAGAAGCAGATGGAAGACAGGGTCACTTGTGAAAGAACTAGCCGAAGGGGGGACGACCATCACAGTTGGGGCGGTGGATGACAGGCTGGCTAGCTCACCAAGAACATCAGGAGAGGTTGGGGAAGACTTGGCTGCGGCAAGTCAAGGAGAGGTTAGGTCAAGGGATTTCAGACAGAAGTCCCATCAATCAATCAGAATAAAAGGATGTTCCAGGAAAGAGGGGAACAAGGATATCCAAAAGAATAGGCCTTGAAGGAAGGCATGAATGAGGGGAGACCGGTCTAAGGGCAACAAAACAAGCTATGCTACAAGGTTTAATCAGTCCACTAAGGGATGACCTCTTCTACATGATTTCAGCGAAGTGTTCAAGTCAAGGCCCTAGACTAACTACAAAGGGCGATCAAAGAAAAGAAGACTTGAAAGAAAAGCCTTCTATCCCACAGCTAAGGCATCCATCCAATACAGATAGAGCGTCATATAAAATGACTCTATCCTTTGGAAACCACCTATTCCTCTCATCGACTACCTTCACTAGGGTTAAGATTCATGGTTTTCTAAGGGCGGCCCATTAGCTTCCTTTGATGGAGCAAGGGATTTCGTCTCTTTCCTTCTGGGCCAGGAATGGAAGTTGTCGTTAAGCTTCTTTGGATCAATCGATAGTGTGCTTATCGCTCTACTTCGCTTGATTCTCATGCCAGGTGTGGTTTTGGGACTGGACTCGTCGCTCAGCTTTAGGCCTTATTAGCTTCATTTCTGAAGTGAGCATGAAGTCCGAATTGAATAGATACTGAGAAAGCGTCTTTCGTGATTAAAGTTGCAAGTTCGGATTCAGGATTGAGAAAGAAATCAGCAAAGCGCAGCTGGAGCTTAATCTATTATAGCGTAGGGTAGGCTCTTTGGATAGATTGACTGGCTTAAGCCGATGAACCAGCTTCTACCACTGACGAGCTAATTCGGACTATGCCTAACTAGAGGAAGAGGAAGAAAATCACCTGGTCCGAATCTTGGCTCGGCATCTTTTAGGGAATCAAATATCTGGTAAGAAAGGGCGAGTCGGCTACTCGAAGCGGAGAAGCAAGAGCTCACTCGACCCATAGGAATAGGGAGGAAGTTTCATTCCAAAACTGCTCTTAGTTTGAGCTAGGAGATGGGACAATACGCTGTTAGTTTGAGCTAGGAGTTTCAAACTGAGATTTTACTTTATAGTAAAAAGGGGTTTACCAGATCGAAATAATCCTGTAGCAAACGGGATTGATTCCACTTCCTTGTTAAGTACGTCCCTCTTCTCTCTTGCCGATTCCGAACTCCAGGAGGAGAGTAGCTCAGCCGACTAAAGCTAAAAGCAGAGTTGGAGCTTGGCAATGCAGTTGATCTTCTTGCAGCTGAGAGAGATGCTGGCATTGAATGAAGCTGATTCCCCCGTACTACCAATAAATATTTCCAATAGTTAGAATCCTTATTACTAGAACTGGCTCTAAGAGACCTGCTGTAACCGTTATTGGGGAACTGCTACCGTAATCCGGACTACATATTCCACTAGGCTAGTTCTTTATTACTTTATTTTTCTTTAAGGAGAAGCGGATCGATCCACTTTTCATTTATCAAAAACGTGACTCCCCTAAGCTAAGTAAACTGCACTGTCGGAAAGACAGCCTAGAGCGATCAGGCTTCCGGTCGAGGCATACTATCTAAGCTACTCTCCTAGTGGTTTTTTTTAACAGATCCACGCGCTCGATCTTATATATGTCACCTGCTTCACTTTTAAACCCCATATTCCCGCAAGCCATGTCGAGTTCACAACCTAGGGCAGAAAGCGAAAGGCTAGAATGATTTAAATAACGTACAAACGCGAAGAAAACCTCCTGCAGTACCGGCCGTGTCCTTGGCTCTCACTCCCATGAATCAGATAGTGCCATACGTCCCACCACAACCGTCCGATCCTCTGATTCGGAATCGGAAGAGGAATCGGAAGGAGAAGATCAGTCGCCTTGAACGGGCAGTTAATAAGTTGAGTTGAGTAGGGACAACAAGTATGATGTTGCAGATCTTGATAATCTCTCCCTATACCCCAAAGTCAGGCTTCCGTACGGTTTTCAGTGGCCAAAGATAGATAAGTTAGTTATTGATAAAGCGGGTTTCGTCTCATTTTCCGGAAAGCCAGTCATACTATTCCACTTTAGCTAAGCTAATGATGAAAGAGGATCTGGATTTGTCTGCAGATGATGATGTCCACTCCTGGCTCGATGCGCTTAACGAAAGGGAACTCTCTAGATTAATAAAGAATTTCCTTAGTAATTAAGCAGCATCCTTTAAGTGAGTAGGGGTGCGCCGGACCGCCGACGAATAAGAGGTACCCCCACACCCCAGGCAGAGTTAGTGAGCCGTGTAATAGGCGACCATTTCGCGCGGTTCGGGGGGCACTTGAGTCAGCCGCCGGCGCATAAGTGAGTAGGGGCTGCGTCTTGACCCCTATCCAATTTTTGGGCCAATTCCCCCTTCGTACTACCAAAAAATGAGATTCTTGCCGAATCCGAGTTTGCTGCTCCAACCATTACCAAACTAATACCTATTCTGTTTAGTACTTCAGGTGCTTCTGTTGCGTATAATGTAAATCCCGTAGCGGATCAATTCCAACGAGCCTTTCAAACGAGTACTTTTAGTAATCGACTCTATAGCTTCTTCAATAAACGCTGGTTCTTCGATCAAGTTTTGAATGACTTTATAGTCAGATCGTTCCTGCGTTTCGGATATGAAGTCTCATTCGAAGCTTTAGACAAAGGTGCTATTGAGATATTGGGCCCTTATGGTATCTCGTACACATTCCGACGATTGGCCGAGCGGATAAGTCAACTTCAAAGTGGATTTGTTGTGCGAAGAGTGCGTTATGACCCGTGGCCGCCTGCCTGGTCTGGTGGGGGCGGCTCCTCCGTTGTGGGTAAACGGGAAACCCGACTCTACGAACCCGAGGAAAGGCTGCAAAGCAGTAGTAGGGGCGTTCAGACCGGAGCTTTTTGTAGTGCTAGCAGGAATGCAAGTGAATGAATCCCATCCCCTAGCGTACAGAAAAGAAGTGCTTACGCCCCTAATACTGATTAGAGATAGGGGCGCGCTAGCGCTTTAATAATAATAATAAATAATAGAAAAGGGGGCTGAGAAAAGCTTGCTGTCTACTTCTCGAGCCTTCACTGCCCCGTTCTTTAACTTCCCTTCTTTAGTCCGTCCACGAGGCTGTAAAAAGAGAGATAGGGGCGGCTATATAGCGGGAGTCGTTTCGGTTGTATGCCACGAGGTCCCTATGGACAAGGGGACAAGTGAATCATCGCTTTTGGGCGCAGGCAGCCCTCTACCATCCATCCCATTGCATTCCATCGTCTCGTATTGTACTGTACCGTACCAGACCAGATACATCTATTGAGTGAGAGAAAGGTAGCTTCTCTATATATATTCTTAAAATTTTATATTTATAGGGATCCCCAGATTCCCGTCACTACGGATTTTTTTTCTCTACCTAACTACATGGTAGTGGTCTAGGGAGCGCAATTGCTAGAGCACGGGAGAATGAAGAGTAATGATTTCAGCAAGAGCAGCCGGACGGACTACTATAGTGAGTCCAGTGACTACTAGAGTAGAGTTGAGTCAAAAGGTATGGTATAGCTGCCTGTCCGAGTCCGAGCGAGCCTCTGGGATCTCCTGTAAACCCCCATGATGTGGTAAAGTAAAGGGAGGATATTAGGGGAAGCAGTGAGTGGAGATTCCCCTGCAGAGAGCCGGATGAGGGGGGACCTTCACGTCCGGTTCGGAGGGCGGGGATATCCCGACCCTACTATCATTATGCCTTTGCAATCTTACTTGGTTCAACTCTATTTGTGACCTTTTCTCGTATGTGGGACTCTCTATCTTCTTGGGTAGATAATCGATCGTCTTTAATTTTTATAGTAAGTAGTTTTTATAATTATAAGTCAAGTCAATAATAATAAGAATCGAACTGGAGGAGCGAAAAGCCAGGATGGCTTGGTAAGCAAGCGACCTGTTATGTAGGCGCCAACTCCCATTTCTTTCTCTTCTTTCTTTTTTAATGACAGTTCATCAAAACAATTGCTAGATCGAGCACGCGACGCGCATAGTCTTAAGTTCAAGAGCGGGTTGTCTCCTCTTCAACATTTCTACTACTTCCTTGCCTCCCCTTTTCAGAGATCTCCTTGTTCTCTTCCCAGATTTTCCTCTATACTTTCGCCGCCTTCTTCATCATCTTGTTCCATCCTCATCAATGAGAGAAGGTGATCCCTCTCAATCGACGGTTCTGGCTACAGACTTTTATCAATCAGCAATGCTATTGATCAACCCCCTTTCTCTGCATTCCAGTTGCAGGCTCCCCTTTTCCTTTATTTATCTCTCTGTTGGATTGGACCGAGTGCTTTCCCTCTCCCGTGGTTGTCCTTCCTTACCTAAAGGCTGCTCTTCTTTTCTTCCGCGCCCTTACATGCGTGGAAGCTTAAACTGGGCTTGAAGGCAGAAAGTACAGAACTCTCAGGCTGGAAAAGGGAAGTGCTTCCCCGATTCAATTAAGGAATCTCATCTCTCTTCCAATAGAACAGGAAGTCTCAAGTCAGTAGCTTGTCCTTCTCGTGCTCTTCCAATCGCATGAGATGCAGCAACCCATTACGTTCAATCAGCCCCTGGCTTCTGTTGAATGAATAGAGGGTTCAGGTGAAGCAGGGGAGTCTATTGCTCTCTTTGTCAAAGCTATCAGACGCTAAGCCAATCTTACTTTTTGGAGCTACCTCTTTTTGTTGTCTCGAGAGGGGGAGAAGAAAGATATGACAGCCAAAGCTGAATGCTCACTTATTCACTAGATTCCAAAGCATGCCAAACCTAAATGCCATTAGCTGAATGCGTACTTCATGCCAAGCAAGCTTTCATTTAGTGAACGCTTTCAAGCCCAGTTGAAGATTTCCGAGCATTGCACTTAGTCAGTCCAGCTTGCAGCTGATTCAGCTACTTTGCCTTCCTACTAAAAAGAAAGAACTCCATCCTTTCCCGAAAAAAACTCCTACTCCTACCTTCGTACTACAAGCCAGCCTTTTACTCGAACTCCCGTTACCGCTGTCCCTATTGGCCTGTCTCCATTCCTTCGCCTTCTCCAAGATTGGATTTGACCCTTCGCTTTCCTTTAAAGAGCTGAGGTAATCCCTGAAGCCCCTCTGCTTGCAGTGGCAGTTGCCAGCGAGTAAGACAGTGAAAGCTATGGCTAGGGATTTTCTGCTTGACAAGGAGAGGAATCGTTTTGGACTTTAGCTTCTCCCTGGTATAGAATACAATACGATTACTTTACCCAGTTATCTTATCTTTCTTTAGAAGCAGTATAACCATATAGTAAGAAAGCGGGATTTTTGGTTGAAAATGGGAAAGATTGGCTGAATTCCTATCCCAACTGTCGAATCCAAAGCCTAGTCACTCCGCCTTTCACTCGTTTGCAAACAATAGAATGGCATGAAGGAGTGGAATCAAATCAGCAAGGGAACTAGTTGCCAGAGGCATTCGAGCAAAGGCTAAGCCCTTATTCTTGAAAAATAGGCATATGGGTGATAAGGAACTTGAAACAGGCATGGACAGAAGTATACCCCTCCTTTTGATGGTGAATGTCGGAAATCGTCTTCCCGGATCACCTTTGATGGACATGAAAAAGGATCTGCTAGGCTGTCTTACATGTCCCCAAAAGCAAAAGAGCTCCTTCCCTTCCCATGTGGAAGAAGTTTACACACAGGGGGGCCTACAACCTCGACCTCAGTATGAAAAGCATCTAGTCATCGCCGATGATAAAGTAGCTGCCCTTTACACTAAGTATTTGGACCAACTGGGTGTAGAGGTATCAAGGTCGAAATCTTTAGTTTCGCCATTAGGCGCAGTGGAGTTTGCTAAACGGTTTCGGATTCGTAATATGACACGTGATGTGTCACCATTATCAATCCGAAAACTGGTAGCAGCTGCTTCTCCAATTGGGTGGTACTACTTTTGTCTCACCCATGACGGACCTCTTCGTCTATCCACAGAATTGCGGTTAGCCGGATTAGGTTTTAGAGCAGCATCAAGGCGTCTGATGAGTCCTAAACACGGTAAAACGTGCTAAAAGACTCTTGATAATGAGATTATACGGTAAATTACCGTGTGATCTGTGGTTACAAACCATTGTTGGTAATGTAGTTACATCTGAAATTAGAGGACGCTTTTCTTCGAGAACAGTACGTTCCAAAAGATCTAGTATTACCTCCCTCTGATTTATTTCTACACTCTGATCATGAGGAACTCATGGAGTATACTCTATATCAGGGTTGGATAAAGATGTATGTATCTTAAATACCGAAAATGGTACGCGGAAGTGGCATTGTCGCCTGGTGTGACTATACGGGATTTTATGGATGCACCATTGTATATAAGAACGTGGCACATACCTAAGGTAGATTTAGATACCTACAAGTATGGTGTCATCTTTCGATTATACGATGTTGTCTGTATGCTTCTTAAGGAAGATCTTAGATGTCTTCCTGTAGTTGATGTGACCACTCGACATGATGAGAGTTGTTGCCAACTCAACATCTCGTCTCGTGTTGATGTCACAAGCAACCACAGTGATGTCATTTATGTTCTTCCAGGAAGTCCATGCAGGGACCTAGCTGTCCGCGGTTCTTATCCATTAGCTATCAAACAAACCCGAGTACATTGTTTATATAACATCTAATGTGTATAAACAAGAATGCTCGTGGGTTCGATATCTATGGAACAAGTTACTTGCGGTCATCTGGCCTTCTGTCTTATCCCCAAGGACTATCCACTTTCTTGTGGAGGATAGTTTTACCTATACCTTATAGACCATTATAAGAATGGCGTCGACGAGCGCGAGCGGCGGATGATAGAGTAGAAATACTCGGGGCGATCCGTCGAAACATTTATAACTGGTAGGTTAAACTACCAGCTATAAAGGCCCCGTTAGAAGGAAGAGGTGGTTTCGGTTATCGGACTATTTCTTCGCTGCCACATCGACACTCGCCTCGCATTCGGAGTCGGAGGCTCTTAGCGATCTAAACGGTCTATGCCCTTAGATAGTTAGGCCGTGGGAAACCATTGGACCCTTATCTCCGAGGTAATCGTATACAGATGCTTCGGGAGGCTTACAAGCCTAAGGATCTCATTGTCCCTCCAGATAGTCTCTATGTTAGCGACTATCTGGCGTGGATTACTGAGTATACCTTGATTAAGTTAAGGGTTGGATGGCCCAGTGGCTTAACTATGTTTTATGGTATAATATCGTTGCTGTCGACCCGGGTGTTCTCCTCCAATACTTCTTGGATGCTCCTGTCGTTGCAAGGCACTTGAAGGTGTCTCGCACAGATCCACAGTTAGTTAGTTTTGGACTAATGTGCCACTTCTTCCGATTCCGAATCACGGTCCGGTCCTGAGGGAAGGGCTTTAGCAGTGAACCAACCCCAGACGTCCAACACTGCTGTTGGACAAACAAAACTTTATCCTCTAAACGGAACGTGAAGACTCGCCTAAACGAACGGATGTTTCACCGTCCGAGGGAAGGCACCTTCTAACCAAGGTCTCCTTGTGCGAGGAGTGGGGTTGATAAACCAAATGTTGGTGAGCAGTTAATCAGTAATTAGCTGACTAATTGACTCTTTTTTTTTTTCCCCTTCCAGAATGCACAAATTTACTCACCTCTATCGGTTTATGGCCCCTAGACATAAGAATCAGGCAATCCTTATTTATGCGAGGGAGTTGGTTAGACTCTCTCCACCAACTAGATAGGAAACCACCTAGTCGATGCCTTTTATTAATATTAATTAATTATATTACTTTTTCAATTCATCATTGGATAGAGCGAAGATTGAGTCTATCTTTCCGGGGAATCCGCCGCTTCCCCTTATGCCTTTTGCTGCTCCCCACTTCTTCCTACTTGTTTGTGGATTCTCTCCATCTAGGAAAGCCTGCCTTAAGGCCTTCTTCCATTCA